TTGAATGCATTAGACAAGTCCTGAAAAAAAAAACGTGCACATCTAGTAGCTAGGCATTCCTGGACCTGTTTACTTGGACAGAGGCCTGAAAGAAAAATGTTACAGCCCATGAGCTAGTGATTGTTTTCCAAGTAATGTCCTATTAACTTAAATTTTTATCTTATTCTTTTTGGATTTAAGGACTTACATTAGCATGCTTGATTTTAATTATTTTTGAAAAGATTTTAATTTTGTTTCTAAGGTTTTTTCAGATAAAAAAATTATGTGATAGAGAAAATATTCTTTACTGAACAGTGTGAAATAACCTATTATCTTTCTATTTTTATGGATTTCAAATTAATTATCTTGCTATTTTTTTTCTTCTTGATGACATTTTGTCATGATTAGTTGTGAGGTTACAAATTAATGGCATGCATCCTAGATAATGTTAATATGACCTTTTTCATGTATTTAGGTACCCTCTACAAGACCCCAAGGCTCTAAATTCATCATTAATAGATTATCAATCTCCCTAATAACTCCAGCTGGATAAGCTCACTTTTTTTTTTTTTTTTTTTTTTTTTTTTTGGCATTTGCATTTGCTACTGGTGAGAATCGGACAATTCAACTCTCCTCTCAAAGAGTTTGTATGTGAAAAATGTAGCATAACATCTCTATTATATAATTTGTTTCCATTTCCAGGCTATTATAATAATAATAATAAAAATCTAAAAGAAGTGGAGAGTTGCTGTTGATTTACTATTCTTTCATACTTATTTTATTATTTATTCACACTTATTTGTTATTTATTTCCATTCACCCATGCTCATAAAATTGTTTTCAATGACATTATTATAATTTTCGGTCTTTGTTTAGACATTTTATATAGTTTTTTTTTAGATTTTTTTACCTTCGTTTATGCATTTTATATGCAAAATTTAACAAATAGTATGTTTTGGTCTCTAATTTTTTTTAGATTTTGATTTTCAACTTCATTTGTATCTTGATTTGGTCGATAGATATAAAGAGAAGGAAAGAGAAAGAAATTCACAATCAGATTTATTTCAATCACTTTTGTTGTCAATCCGAGCTTCGGGCATCAATTTATCCATATTAAAGACGTGAGTTTATTTATGAAGGTTTCAAGATATAAATGGTGAGAGAAAGAATATCAAAATTCCAAACTATTTTTTAGTTTTTTTAAAATTTGATTTGGATTTTCAAATTTTTTAAATGTATTAAAATAAGTTTTGAAATTTTAAATAAATTTTTTAATCTATCTTTTTTTTTTTTTTTTTGGCTGATTTTGAGTGTTTTGGAGAAAAAATGGTTTGTGAAATTAATTTTGAAAGGCTCGGAACGTGGTGCTCCGATTTTCTGGTGAGATTTTCGACAATTATAGTTTCATCAAAAGTTGCTGTCGGTCAACATATCATCTCTTACGCATTGTGTAGGCAATGCATCGTTAGCCATTTCACTTTTTTTTTAAAAAAAAGGACTGGCCCGCCCGTATCCAACCTGTGCACACATGGGCCTTCTCTAAGCCCAACGATGCAGGCTTGGATCTCACATATCCAACTTTTTTTTCCTTCTTTTTTTGGATTTTTTTTATTATTTGATTTTGTACTTGAATTTTAGAAAACTCATAATTGTTTTTTTATTTTTTCGCAATCTAGTAAGAAGAAATATCAATGATGTGTTTTTATATTTTAAACTTAACATATATTTCAAATTATATTAATCTTATTATTTGAAATTTATCTCTTTAAGTTATCATTTTTTATAGAAATTCTCATCCAATTAATTTTTTTCTATTAATTTTTATTTATTTAAAAATATGATTTATTTTTTTCTATGTCTACATTTTGGAATAAATTTTTTATGAACATAATTATTTTTTATTAAAAAAATAAAAGATGTATAATTTATATATGAGTGCTAATAATACGCTCTATTAAATATTTGTTTAATAAAAAATGTTCATATCAAATAATAACAATAAGAAGTTAATTGATGACCTATGTTAAGTTTTTAAATTACAATCAATTTCATATTATATCTTTAAAAGATTGAAATATCTCTTGTTTATTTAAAATTATATGAAAAGATTTGATGTTGATATTTTTATTTAGCAAATGTTGAAAGAAGAGTCTTAGAGAGAGTTTTGTTAACACTCCTCTAATTTATATGATGAATTCTTATAATTTTAAAAGAGACTACATGATTTTAAATATTTATGTTTGATCTAAAGGCTGAAAGTGTGTTGTGATTTTTTTTCCTTGAGTTTTTGAAAAAAAAAAAAAATTGATAAGCAAAAGTAAGAAGTGAAAAAAAGAAGAAGAGAGAAGTGACTATTATAAGTGAGAGACACGTGCACGGAGACTAAGCATGAAGGGTGGATGGTTTATCTATATATATATATATATATATAAAAGATGGGAAAAAATTCATATGTTTTATTTATGTTTATATATATATATATATAATCAAAATTTATTAAAATTAATTTATAGGGGGTTTCATCGAAAATTAATTAACCATATACACAAAAGACACTGAACATTTAGTATTAAAAAAATGGGTTATTTTAAAATCAAAATTTTCAAATAAAATAATTAAAATTGTGTTTAAATAAAATAACATGCAATGTTACTATGCTTTCTAGATAGAAGTTTTTATATTAATATTATTGATTATTTTGGAAATGTGTATACATATATAAACCTAATGTACATACTTTTAAAAATTGATCTTCTCATTAATATTTAATAAAGATGAAAATTTATTTTAAATTATTATGCAATATTTTTTACATTAATTATTTGTTTAGTATTTCGATGCAATCTTTGGGGGGGGGATATTAAATTTGTACATGTTTTTTTTTAATTTAAGATTAATTAAAATTTACTCTTTAGATTATTTACAAATTTCTATTAAAAAATTAATGCATAGAAAAAAATATTTTTCTAAGAAGGAAATATATTAAAAAGAACATAAAAAAGAATTAATGAGGCATAAAATTTTGAATAAAATATCATAAAGTTAGTTCAAAAAAAAAATTGCTTTTGATTTCAATATATATTGCTAGACTTGCGACATGACAAGAACCATTAAATTAAAATAATTTTTTCAAAAATAATTTTACATATTTTATTGTATCTGTACGGCAGCGTGATTAGTTTGGAAACTAATTAATTTGGGATGGATATTTTAAAATGGATATTCTGGATCGATTACATTACTAAAGAGCCTATGATACAAGCCCACGTTCTTCAACCTCGGAAGGCCCATAGCCCTTGCATTACGATTTATTTTATCGAGAAAAGGTGAAAAAACAATAGGGGCAGAATGGGCCATTTCAAAGGGTAAGGCCTACAAATGTGGGCTGCAAATGTCCCGCTACAACTACCTGATATGTCCTACCTGAGAGACAACTTCCTGGAGAACATCCAAGCAAAAATTTCTTGGTGAACCATTAATGGAGAATAGGACCTGCTTAATTTTAGGGAGAAGTCTTTATTAATTAGACAAAGCAACCTTTGAATTGGTTGTTTCCAGGAAAACGGCATTATAAAAAGAAATTAAGCTGGATGAGTCTCTGGTCCAAGATTCTTCACTAGCTAGAGGTATAGAACTCGGGCTTTGGGCAATGCACTCTTCCTCCCTCTCTCTCAGCTAGACACAAAATTTAAGGGCTTAGAAATCCCAACCAGAGAACATTGAGTCGTCAAAAAATGAATTTCAAGAAATGCAGTTTTATGTATCCACCAGAGGAAGGGCAACTGGAAAACCTCCATTTTCCAAGAATCAAACCTTTACAAGGACAAAAACTATGAGTGACCAGAATTTGGGTTTGTATGAAGTAAATGTGCAACTCAAAGAATAGTCCACAGGGTAACTTTGAGAGATGGAAAAGACGGTTGCACCAATTAAGCTGACATAACTGTACTAGATTCTTAATAACTTCTTGAAATACAAAATACAAACAATGGGGTCTAATAACATACAGTTCTGACTTCTGCCAAATAAATAGATGCATCGTAGTCCTCATTTATCACACTCAGGGTAAGGAGGAATCCATGGAGTCAAAGCTGATGTTGACCAAACTGTATAATAGTAAATAAATGAGAGAGAGAAAGAGAAAGCGTCAGACCATTAAAGGCATCCAGCGTTGCATGTGTCTCAGACTTAGAAACTGATGACAGAATGAAAGAAAAGGCACACCACTACTCCACAACTCTAAGCAAATAAGCAAAAACTACACCTATCAAAGAAGACACATCAAGGTTGTCCGCTTGATGACGCTTCTCTCATTCACCATTGCAATCACCTGTTTCCTTTTCTGTCCACCTTTCTTTCATTTTCTACGGTTAATGTTCCCTTATGAACTCTACAAATAAGAGAACTAAAAGAACCCATTAACCACTTTGACTTGGTTTTTTGTTTGATTTCTAGTCACATTATTCTCTTTTAACCTAATTAGCACAATGTGCACGTGTAACTTATCAAAATGACACAGAGAGGATGTTTATGACTTTCATTTTCCTGTAATTTTTAACATTAGTAACCAAGAAATTAAGATATATAATTCAATAGCTAGAATATTATTGCACATGAAATTGTGGCAAAGAACTAGCTACTCCACAACAATATGGTTAATATCCTCTACATTTTAACAAGAAAGCAAAAGTTTGAAAACCAGTCTAAAGTATATCAAAGTTTCTCATCACATGTTTAGGATTGAGATTTCTAGCTTTTCAGAGAACACAGGAGCAAAAGCTTTTAGTTCAAAACTACAATTTGCTGCTCGTGTATGGCAGAAGAAGACTAAAAGGTCAAGCAAAATTAAAGGTCCAGTCCAGTCCATCACATCATATTCTCTTCTTTAGAGTGAAATGCACAGAACGACAGCATAGTTTATGAACAAGCCACAGAGGTTCTAAAAGGGTTTCACTTTAAGTAATAGATGGATCTGCATAGCAAGTTCAAAGATGAATTATTCTTCTACCTTTCTTCAAGCAATGGAAGAAGCTTCACGCAAGCAAATGATTCGTAGAAGATAACTAAATTGTTTTTTATCAAAGGGTTAAATTATCTTACAAATATAAGAAAGAAGACTTGAGATTAAAAAAAAAACATATATGTGTGTGTGTGTGGAAATTCATGGACAGAAACCTAGCTAGCTACTATCCAAACGTATAGTTCTGGCACCTGTAACAGCTGGTTGTTGAGCCCATGATCTATTCAAGCATGCAAAGGACATGAGTTGACCAAAGGGCACAGATCTAAGCTTTAACATAAAAGCAACTATAAGATAAAGAAAAAGCAGAAACAAAACAAAAAAGATAGGAGAATACCACCCACTACCACTCACAAAAGTGGCACAGAAAGATGAAGAGACAAGTATACAGCTAGCTGATACAATATAATTAAAGCAGTTATGACTTATTACACAAACTAAACTTTTTGTGTGTATTACATATTTTGATCTTATTTTCTAGTGACATGAAATAGCATAGGAAAAAGAAACATGATATGTGAAGTTTCAAAACAGAATTTGTTTTCTTTGATAAGAAAATACTTGTGGTTAACAAGGTAGGTTCATTTTGATGAAACCCTAGAGGTCTGTGGTAGTTGAAGTGGGAAAAAGAAGCCAATTAGAGTGTAGATTAGTAAGGACCAGAAACAGACAGGTAAGATTCTTGAAGCCATCATGAGAAAAACTAGTTCAATGATGAAGCTGAAAGAGTTAGCTAGATAGACTGACAAGGAAACATAAAACCCTGATCCATAAAATTTAGGGATAAAAAATAAAAGAGTAATGATGAAGATCCTTTCTCTCTTTCAGTCATAAAAAGAGGAGAAAAATAAAAGGCAGTCAAAATCTCTCATCATTACACCAATCTGTGCTCATGCCCAAAATAACTTAATTTCTCTAATGACAAAACATCCCATGTACAAAAACATTCCAAAATCAATTTAAAACAAAAAAGCACAAATGCGCCCATAAATATATATATATATATATATAAATCATAATGCAATTTACATAAGTTCAACTCTCACCTTTTAGATCAGAAGCAAAAATAGATAAAAATTAATTATAGAGATCAATGATTTAAGAGGAAGAAACAATTGGGGGGAATGAAGCCTGGTCCGACGTCACTAAATATACATGAATCCACGATCTTGATCTCTCAATCAAATCTCTTATAAAATTTATCAAAAAATGTTAGAATCATGGATCTAATAAGTGGCCTCGAGCCAGACAACATTCCCCTCAAAAGATATAGCTTCCGTATCTATTTTTTTCCACGCTTCTTCTCTCGGAATCCAATTAACCTAAACGAACGCTAAACCACACTTCTCTATTTACTTAAAAAAAAAAAAAACTCTAAGCCAAACTGATTTTGAAAGAGGGGAAAGGTGGAGAGAGAGAGAGAGAGAGAGAGAGAGAGAGAGAGATGAGGCTTGTATGATCACGGTGAATGAGAAATGAGCAAGGAAAACAAAGAGATAAAAAGGGCAGGAGGAGAGATGAAGAGTGAAAAGGACAAAGAAAGTAATAAAAGCAGCAGACCCCCCGACCCTACATATGGGTCTCGGGTACCAGAGAAATGACCACGACCCCTATCGCTTCTCTCGCGCTCTCTCTTTCTTCCTTTTATCACTCTCATCAATCTCATCGTTCTCTACCATGCAATGCAATATATATATAGAATTTTTAGCCCCTTCTTTTTGATCTCTTTCTCTCTTTACAAGGCATCAAAATCCCATGTCCGCCGCGATATATCATCATGACCTAATCACACCATCATATTTTTATGCTTAAAATAAATACTGACTACTACTACTACTTTCCTAACAATAATATCTTAATTAGTACTTATTTTGTTTAATAGTGATATACTAATAAATCTCAACTAACCCATATCCCTACATTTATGTCCAACCCTAAGTCCCTAACTACATTTTCCATTTGCATTCATCAATACTTTTGTTCCCCGTCCTGTCATGGTGCATGATCACCGTTAGCAATATATATATATGTGTGTGTGTGTGTGTGTGTGTGTGTGTGTGTGTGTGTGTGTGTGTGTGTGTGTGTGTGTGTTTTAATAAAGGTTAGAGCATTTTCAAACAAAATTTTCATAACCAAACTAATTCTTTTTTTTTTTTTTTTTTTTGCATTTATAGTAATTTTTTAATTCCCAAAGTATTTCAAGTTTAAAATCTCAAACTAATCTCTCAATATTTTGTTGGACATACAAAATAGATAAAACTACCCAAAAAGTTTTTTACGAATATAAAAACTCAAATCTTAGACAATTTGTTTAAACAACTAGAGTTATTTTCATTTGAGTCAACTCTCTTAGATATATTTATAGTATTTTCAAATCAACTTCCATGCAGCTTTATTAAATTTATATTTGAGTCAACTATATTTTCAAGAGTTTGATGAAACATTGTTTGAGCCATACGGACGTATGATAAGGTGATGATGAATTGATGATAATGATCAGGCAATAAACACGTAAGAAAGAAGATGAGCGAGGGGATTAGTTGAGCTAATTCACCGTCCCTAGCTAGCTATATATATAAATAGTTTAGAGGTATGATTTTTGGGTACCTATCGATTTTTGCAAGTGTTACCACATTTTGGTACAGTGTTAATTTAGGTAAACTAAAAACAAACTAACATGAAAGAGGGTAGCCTCGTTCTCTGTAAAAAAATTCACTGCTTTTTTCTAAGCTTGCGGGGGATTCGAGATGACGACAGACACAGAGAAAGAGAGAGTCACAGACAGTCATAAAAGGTTACTGGTCAGCCTACTGCTTCCCATTCAGCTGCTCTCATCTTCACCCATATCACACATGGTCCTCACCATTCAGATTCATTTACATACTTCAGGGCCCACACATGTTAAGGGCACAACCTTTTTACTTTTTTTTTTTTTTTTAGTATTTTTAAATGTTAATGAAAAAAAATAAAAATACAAACATCTGAAAACATATTGGAAGAATGACACAACATAACAAGGAGGGGATAAAATGGAAAATCTTTGGCAATATTTTGTGGCGTTAATTTGCAGTTGTAAAAAAATAAAAAATTGTGCTATTTCCTATTACATTCATGGGAGGAATTTTTTTATATATATATATAGATATAATTAAAGTATCAAATTGTTTTTAATTATATCTTGTATGTATATATGGCCAAATTACTTTATTTTATTTTGTTTTTGTGAGCCAAAAGTACTACTCCATAGTCTTCATTCTTCAGGAGAAATTATTGGAATGGAAAAGGAAGTATGTGGATGATTAACTAAAAAATGAAAGGTGTAATAAATATTTCACCAGAGAATTGGATTCCCTCAAGGGAAAGATAGCCTTTCTTGCAAAAATGAAAGCAAAGGAAAGATGTTGGGATTTATTATGGTGTTAGCAATGGAATGTGACCTCTCAACGCATGTTAAAAGCAACACCCCAATAAATATAAGCACATGTCTGAGGCTGTTCAAAGGCTTTGCTTAGGTCATGAAGAATTTGAATGTCGTCGAGATCGTTTGAAATTTTGAACTATTTGACTTTCCCTGCATATTGCTTTGTTATATATCGTTAAAGACTTTGGAACTAGCTAGCTAGTATTGTTGGCTTTTAAAGAAACTACGTTCAAAAACTACTTTGAAAATCAAGTTTGGAATTGGAATTGGGAATCATATATTTGAATTTTTATGTTGAATGCTGGGAGTAATATATATATATATATATATATATATATATATATATATATTATCACGGGTGGATAAAGGATTGAAAAATATAATATTTGGGATTTAATTTACTCAAATTAATCAAGAAGGCTTAGTGGGTAACATTTTTTCTCTCCTTATCTTTCTCATCTCTAGGGTAAACGGAGTTTAATTTTAATTTTCTAGAAATGACATCAAATGATTTTTTTTTTCAAATGACTTGCTAATTAAGAAAATCACAATAATTGACTACACTTCATCTATATATACTTCTTACATATAGTACAATTTTTTCCTTCGTTGCTTTTTTCTTTTTTTGCTCGAAAAGAAAAAAAAATCATTTTCCCTTTTTCTCCTATTGGTACAGATATACAGCAAATGATATTGAGTGAGTAGTAATGGATTCCTGTATAATTAATTACATCGGATCCTTTTTGTTTCCAGTAGATTCGACTATGTTAAACTCTTGATAACGAATTATTGTCACTGTCTAAATGCCGATTGGTATTTACATTGGATCCTTGTATAATCGGAATAATACAATTTTTATTTGTCAATGATTTGTAGACTTATCACCAAAATTTCTTTTGTTTGATAGTTGACAATAAATTTTTCTCTCAATATGATGTGTTACAGCCTTTCTATTTTATTTTTGATTAATTGGTAAAATAAACAATTAATTTTTTAGTAAAATTCAACTTAACTCATAACTTTTTGTTTTTTGATTTGCTCGAGCTATCAAGTCAAAGCAGTTAATCAATGTTTGGAGAATAAGTTTGTGTTTTATTAGCATAAGAAACCTATCAGAGTCAATTAATTGTTTTGATCCGATAACTCGAATTATCACGATAAATAATAATAATAAAAAAAACATAAAATCAAGAGTTAAGTTTAATTTTACCACAAAGTGAGGAGGTCTTTTTACCAACTAGCACTTTAATTTTTTCTCGATCAAAATTTGTCCCGACGTACGTCACCATCATCCCTACAAAGTCAAATTTCCAAGTTTTGATCACGTGCATTGCCGGAGCTCATAAAGTTCATCCTTTGCCGTCCTTGCTTTTGTTTTTTTCCCCTTTACAATCAAATAGTTTTGAGGATGGAAATTAAATCACACTTACAAGCTTTCAATCAAGTAAAAGCGTCATCACTTTTGTGTGCAATCCTACGAGACTCGAATTTTGGGTCTATTCTTACACGAAAACTAGGGGTGCCACTAATTACATGATCGAAGTAATTAGCCTTTGCTATTTACCATAATATAAAGGTTTTCTTTGAAACAAGAATGAACTGGATACTTGAATATATATATATATATATATATATATATATATAGTAAGGAAATGTATTTGATCCATCATATGGCTACTTTCACCACAATTTCATTAAAAATATAAAAATTAAAAGCATTTTCGTTTTTCTCTTTTGGAAGTCCTAATTTCAGGGTGATTGACCTAACCCCTCCAGCAGACACCAAACTTTACCTAGATGTTTGTTCTTTCTCAATTCCCACAACAGCCATTAACGGCACTGTCTCCACTCTCCTCTTTTTCTGCTAAAAAAATAAAATAAATCCACAGCAACAAGTAGCTATACCAACTGTTACAACTTTAATGCCACAGTCCCTCTTGCCATCCTTGATGATCAATAAAAATTAATGGATTCCAACTGTCATCCATATCGTTTTAAACTTGGCCATAGATGTGCATATGCCAGCTTGGTCATTGTTTATTACAATAAGCAATTGCATTAACAATTGTTAAATTAATCTGAATCATGCATGTATTACATATAATCGTTGGATACGTAATATGACACAATAATTCCGCAGCGCGTGCATGTAGAGCACAGAGGAAAGGTTGGAAAGTAGTCTGCATATATTATTAATCTTGTTACTAATAGTAGTAAATTAATAATAAATAATCAAACCCTAAACCTACTATTGAAAAACCGAATTAAAAAAGAAGTTGTGCTATACACAAATAAACTTAAGAAAATGTGCAAGAGTAGTTGAAAAGTGAAAAGGTAAGCACTCTTTTCATGCAAAGCTTTTCGGCCAAACCAACCTCAAGTCTGCCTTGATTGAGAAAAGAAGATTCTCTGCAAACAAAACAACGTAGAAAATAGAACCAAAGCTTACGTGGGGTGTGCGAGTGTTTTCTTTGGTTTTTGGAACTTCAATAACTCAAACATACATGCCACGACACATTGATTTTCGTTTCTATTCATTAAACAACAACACTTTGAGCAGCTGTTGGAGACTGTTACGAGCTATTTAAGGTACCATATCAAAGCTGGAAACCAAATAAAATAAGTCGTACTATTAATGCTTGGACACAAGCTGACAAGAGCTTGTGTTTTTTCAGTTTTGAGGGTCAAGGTAGCTAGTAGCTAGCTACCCGCTACTTGAAAATCGTTCATTCATTCAAATGATTCAAAATATTGCTGGAGTTCAAATGTTCTGCCCTTTTAAGTTTTTTTAATTCATGCGGTTCACGTTGATCTGATCATCAATAACTCTCCAAATTACTCTTACTTGAATGTGAAAGAAGTGAATAATATTTACAGTGAGAGTACTACTCATGTCCATGAATGTGTGTGTATATATACATCAAGGAGAAGTGCTAGTCTTAGTAGCACTAATTTTGGACCTAATTTGCTATGCATATTATGCAGGCAAATTACTCATACAAGCAGTTACAAATCTCACAAATCAAAGTCAATTAATTGAAACATTGGTTTTATCGAACCCCTAGATGATAACGTACGGTACGAGAGCAAACTCATCTACTGGTTAAACAAACACAGGGGTATAACATAAACATTCATATAAAATGGGAGGATTAATCTTAATATATTAAAAGCAATGGATGGCAGATGTGGGCTTTACGATCACGTTTTTGTTGGTTGCTTTTCAGTTATTATTGACAGCAGGCAACTTTGGGCTTTGGGCTTGGTACTAGACAAAAAATTATGCTAACATCTTTTTCCATCAGCCGAGACTTCCAAACTTGCGGATCCAATCGAACCAGTCTTTTTGACTGTCCTATGAAATTGGGTCACATGAGCCCAAGGATCATCAAGGTTGGCTCTTGATCCCCTTTTGTTGCTGGACTTGTTTCTCCTCTTCTCTTGTAATCATAAGTGAAGCAGACAGCTGATATGCAACCACCATACAGGAAACTATTTCTTACGCCTTGATCAAATTAGAAAGAGTCAAGAACTCGAGATCCATTCTTCCAAGATTTTTCAGAACCATATTTTCAGTCTTTCAAAGATTCTTTTAAAAGATGTTTAGAGATGAAATCGCTCCTTTGATGCTATTTGATAATAAACAATGAAATAGTTAGAATAGAAATAAAAGTTTTATTCTTACCTTATCGATGTTGGATTGAAAAAAATGAAATGAAAAAAGGAATGAAGAATAAAAATAAGATTGAAAATTATACACAACTTCATTTTCATTTAAAATGTGTGAATAAAAACAATAAATGAGAATAATTTTTTTTCAAAATAATAATATATTTTATTTATTTATTGTATATTAACTACTTCTATCATCGGTACCACTACCACCACATTAACCACCATCACTTTTATTATTTTTACAATTATTATAGGTTGATAAAATTATTTTTTAATTATTATTTTTATTTATATAAAAAATCAGATATTAAAAAATTCAAATTGCATTCTAATTTTTCATTAGTATTCCAAACACAATATGAAAATACAAATGTCATTCGATTTCTTAATTTTCATTTTGATTCTTACATTCTTATTCCAAACTTTCTATTCCTAGTAACTAAATTATACCTTAATGTAGTAGTCTTAAGCGGCATACGGAGTGAATTTATTTTAGTTGTTAGATCTTGTGGTTCTACCCTTAGTCTGTTTTTTTCCTCCCTTAATGAAGAATATCCTCGGATAACTAAATTAATCTCCTCATTAGACAAACTTCTAACATCAGCCCAAAGAGAAAACATCCTTACCCATAGGACGAACCTCTTGAGATTAGAACCTGTTTACTTATGCAATGTAAGAACAACTAGATTAAACACCAGCATCCCGTTTGGAATTTTTTTTTTTTTAAAAAAAAACTATAATTAGATGCTTTCTTAGCCCTTAATTTGTCTTATAAACAGGAAAAGACCTAGGACCAAGGTTTCCTATTCCGATGCCATGACATACGGACGGTGGAGTCGCACGAATTGAGACTTGAGAGTGACAGACAGTTTTGAATCTTGAAGAATCAGATATTATGTCCTTATTATTAAGGGTTCATGCTTCGTGCGCCATATTTCAAGACGAAGCCAACATGTTTCATATATACGCATTGACGTGTCCAAAATTCCAAATAATTGATTGATGATGATAAAAACCAACAACTTATCAGTGGCCACGTTAATACGAGAAAAGAAAAACCTGCAGCTTTCCAAAAGAAAAGGATAATGTTGTGGGGGACCCATTCTTTTGACCTCTGCAACTGTGTTGTTAAACCATTGGTTCTTGAAGGACAGAAGGACAGCTTAGGAGTTAACTTTGTCTTACGCCAATTGACCAAAAGTTGCCAGTTTCAAAAGATAATGGCTTTTGTATCAACGTGGCCACCTAAGACAGTAACTCATGATGTTTTTTTCACGATAAAAAAGACCCACCTTGGTCCTGTCAATTAAAAGATCATAATAAATCATCAAAAGTATGATCTTAGGATTCATGATCCTAAAGCAGTTGAAGGGGGTATTCAAAATCACATAACTATATGGTAGATCAAGGATGGTGTTTCGGACATATCGCCATGTCGGCTCAAGTGACAGGAGTACAAAAATGTCACAAACAGTAGTACAAATGGAGAAACAAGATGCTCTTCTTCAAAAGAGTACAAGTAATCTCTCCTTATCATAGCAGGCCCACCTTATGGGATGCATGTATAGACATGGGTTGCTTGACTATTTATTAGTTCACATTCCAAAGCTCACCAAAGCAAGGTTAACAAAGAGATAAAAGCATCCCCAACAACAGCGACAGAAAAATTATTAGGCAATGGACGGAGGCATGCACACTTTATCAAGCCTTCAAAAGAATGCAAACAAGAGAAGGTTTAGTGATGAACAAATCAAATTCCTGGAATTCATGTTCGAGTCAGAATCAAGACCAGAGTCTCGAATAAAACAACAGCTGGCTAATGAGCTTGGACTAGAGCCTCGCCAGGTTGCTATATGGTTCCAGAACAGAAGGGCTAGACTGAAGACTAAACAGATTGAGAAAGAGTACAGTACACTGAAAGCAAGTTATGATGCTCTAGCCTCTAGCTTTGAGTCCTTGAAAAGAGAGAACCAGTCGTTGCTCATCCAGGTACCTTTCTTTTTGTGGACTATAAGCAGTTTTTTTAAGTGTAAAGGTACCCTTCTGAGTGAGCTTAAAACATTTGGGACACATTCTGACTCTAAGAAGAACTTTATTTTCCCCAGCTGCAGAAACTGAAAAAGGGGCATGTAAAGCAACATGGGAGCAGAAATTGTGGAAGCCAACCTGAAAGCTGCCATGATGGCAGATTTGAGAACAAGGATACTGACTCAGAATCAAAAGAAAAACCCAGCTTTCAATCGAAAGGTAATGACAATAAAGAAAACAAGCCTTCAAGTGATCATAACAGCAGCAATATTGCGAGCAAGAGGGAAGAAATTGACATTTTGAACCAAACCGAACACGCAGACGACTCAACGTCGTCATCTGACTGGCATTGTTTTCAGTCTAATTGTTTTGTTGACAAGTCCAGCTGTAGTTCAGAGTGGTGGGAGCTGTGGTCATGATTACTAGAAGCACTACTTCAAATGAATAAAGTATAAATAAACACTCATGTTCAGCATCTACATAACGTAGCAAAAGTTCGCTCTGATACTCCCAACTGTCTCTTCATGCAACCTTGATAAATTTTGTAATTCCAAGTAAAAGTTTGGCCCAGCTTCTGATGTATCCACTTTCCCAGTGTACTCGAATTGAGCATATGATCCCTTCCAAGGTACTAATGGGAAAAATAATAGAAGAAATCCGTAAAGAAGAATCAAGTGTCAATAACTCTACGTATCATGACAATCTCCAAATCAAGCATGCATACAGAGTGTGGATAACATTTATCATTATACCATCACGAATAAATGATAAATGGTCACATTCTCAGATTTAAGCAAAAAGTGCTGCTACATGGAACTAGTATACGATGTAATCTTATCTTGCATAGACTAACTCCTAATGCTACATGGTAAAGTCAAGTTGGTCTAAAACAAAAAACCTGATTCACAGTGGTGTGTCCCATTAAAGCTCCGGTTTAACCTTCACATCGCCATTGGGTAATGAGCTTTGTGCTTGAGCAAGCCGTTTTGCTTCCTGCAAGATGTAAAGTTAAGCTTATATACTTTTTTGGGAAAAAAAAGAAAAGAAAGAAAAAGAAAAGTTGTCTTGTTCTTGTTATCATTTAAAGCACCAACTTGTTTCTCCAACAGAGAAACTGGTTTGTGCAACCAAATCAACATCCAAATTACTGATTTTTAAATTTACAAGCTAAAAATGTGTCTTTTCAAGATTTTCATGCCAATCTAAGCTACAAAGCATATGCATGTTTATTCTTGATTCATGCTATTGAAGAATGTTGCTCCATTCATTGGCCAATTAACATATACACTTATCCGCACATTAATTAGAATTTACAGGTATCTTTTCACAAATGATATCTGCTGCAGAAGACCTAAAATGCTATAATTTTAAGCCTAGGCTAGCTGACATAAATTTTACATGAAACTACTTCCAGGCAATGAATTTGGGCTCTTATACAATTTTGACAGGTGGCCCATTTCTGTAAGTGGAAGTCAACAAAACTGCCAAGTTGCACCAGGATGTAGCGACCATATCAAGTATGATGAAGCAATAACAAGTTTGAAACCACTGAAAAGATAAGTTTCAGCTGCTGACAGGTTAATAAACACTAGCTGCCTCAATTATTTCATGGTTCATCATAACCGAAAACATTATGGCTTGCTGGTACCCACCATAAAACATCTCATGCTTATGAATTTCTATTATCAAGCACCATTCCTTCTCAGCAACCTAACCTTAAGAAACTAATTCAGTGGAGATCTTTGCACAACAAATTTTAGTCTAGGCAATCCCTTCTAACAAGAGAATATGGCTTTTGTTTCATACTACAAGCAGAAAGATGGGCAAATTCAACTGAGATATCCATTCAACATGCAGTAAATATAACTTACAGCAGCAGACATTGCGCGTATCTCCCTATATGATTCGACTTCATCTGGAAAAGTCTGCTCAAGTTCCTCCAGAAGATGCTTGCGCAAACTCTGCAAAATCAAGGGTTATATCATGAATATCAAGTGCACATAAAGCAAATTGAAGACATAAATATCTAGTGGAATACATATTGCATGAACACATCCAGAGAAAACAACATATCACAGTGGGAACCGAAGAAATACCTTGAAGGCATCAGTTTTGCCTTTGGTGACTTGATTTTTAGCAATGCAGCTGTTTATAACATCCCTTGTGAATTCATCTGGATTCTTTCCATCATCAATCAAACTAAGCACACAGCAATAAACTTGCCATCAGTTTTCCAGTGACGACAAGCTGGAATTGTTTCATCACAAATAACAATCACAAAGATGCACTCACCTCAGGACCTCCATAGGAACTTGAATGTTGCACTTTTCAGACAATTTAACCATAGTGTCCAGCTCAGTAACAAGACCATTGCTGCAAAATCACACCCTTATATCATAAACACTCTACCCACCAAAACACAATGCTATCAAATAACAAACTAAAACAAAGGATTGATAGAAAAGTACAGTCGCTGGAGAAGAGGAAGCTGTGAAGCAGTGTTGAATGAAGAGACCGTGAGGTAAAGCTGGTGGAGTAGACCAAGAGTCTTCTGGATGGAATTAATGACTTGGTTCAAACTTTGCTTTGGATCATCCATTGCCGTCCCTGCAGCTGTATCATTCACTGGAGTAGCCAACATTCCATTACCTCCACTCCCTCCAGTCCCCAACAACGTATTATGCGACGAATCCATCTCAAACAACACACCTGTGCAAAAATAAAATACAGGAAAGGGACCCTAAAAACTACAGAAACAAATTAACGAAATTAAGCAATAAATGATGAACCATGGTATTCAAAATATAGGCCAACCTTTTCATCAAATACATATACATAGGGCCACCTCAATTTTAGTCAAAATTTGAAATTTCTCAGACAAACTTAGTCAAAGTTTCAAATTTTACAACTGGAACAAATCGATGACAACAAACATATGTGTTTCGAACATAAAGGAAACATTAGATTAGAAACACTAATGTTTCCTTAATCCAATGTTTCAAATGCACCCAAAATCCTAAACTTAAAAAAGAAACCTAATAAAACAAATAATCTAGCTCCATAATTAACTTATCATATTAAAATTAGCAAGAACCCAGATCATATACTTAAAAAAAAAAAAAAGTATGGTAAATATTAAAGAATTATAAACGAACCCAGATTGTAAAGGAAAAAAAAATCCAAAAAATTAACTTAAAAAAAAAATATGAAACTGAGATTGCTTTACCTGTTGAAATTTGTAATGGGTCTCTGGTGCTTTTGGGTTTCTGCAGAGAGCGCGTTCTGTCGAGAAGGAAGCAAGAGTTAGTTATTTTACTTACATGTCGTTCATATACCCGATATACACCTATTTTAAATTGAATGACGCGTTGCTCTTATGACTGTGTTTTCTATGTTTGGGCCTAAATTATCATGAGCCCATATGAGATCTTAATGGACCTAAGAGTTAGCCTTACGCAAAATACAGCAAATCAGCAATTGCCGGTTGAAATGGTCCTATTTTCCAACGGAAATTTAGTGCTCCGTTTGTTTCACGAAAAATAATTTTTAGTAGAAAAATTAATTTTTTAAAAAATATTTTTTGATCTATGTTTTTCATTATTGTTTGATACAAAAAATTGAAATACAAAAACAAACTGTAATTATTATATCAACGAGTTTTGAAAGAATTTTAACAAGACATATTGACAATCTCACAATATAAAAATTATTAAAAAATCTCACATCCATTATATATATATATATGGCAATCATTGGCCCAATGACTGAAACTTTTGCATATAAAGCATTGATCACATTATTTTGGGTTCCATTGACAATATGGATATGGATAACTAAAGCATGGTGTCGGTGGTGGAGTTAAGAAACATGGATTGGTATCATAAAAAATATAACATAATTATTTGTAAAAAAAGGTCATATAATAAAATTATAATGAAAAACTTTGTTGGATAAATAAAATAAATAGCTTTTTTCATTCTATCAATTTGACCCATAATTATATTACTCACAATCTAGTAGTTGAATCCTATCCATGCATCACGGCAGTTTGTACACCGAGAAAACATCCATAATTAAAATATCCTACATTCATAATAATAACTACAAAGATAGTTGTAAAGATCCAACATCCAAGAAATATTAAAATTGTCTACAAAATCCATACTCCTACGAATCCAAATACATAATAAGAAAGCTACATATAACAATAATAGATCAAATCATTTAGTCAAAGACATAAAAGCCATATCATGTAGATGATCTATCATGTTCATTGATGAATTTTTCAATTCAAAGTTTTCTATGTTGTTCATTTCTCGCTATAAAAGCCTTTGTCAACCTTTTATTACGCACCAAATAATCAAACACATTATTCAAGATGTCATCATCAAGATCGGTAATCTTCATCATCGCATCATAAAGCTCATTTATAACAACTTTGTTTTTTGTTAAAGCATGAATTGCTTTGACCGCTTCTCTCATTTCCATAGCTAAAACGGATGTAATTAATTATTTAGTTTCACGACCTCTTTTTCTCTAGCTTCGCTTTCCGGAAAGCATACTAGTTGATGATGGTTCTTTTCCTTTGCAAATATTAACTTCATTTGGTGTTGTAGATTCTATTTCGGAGATCTTAGCCAAGTTGATATCATTAAAGGACTTGACAAAACTTCCTATGACCATATCTTGTCGAGCAACGAGTGTCATCTCATTGTACATCTCAATTTTCTTATTTAAGTATTTCTCATGGTTAAAATGTGCCTATATATTAAAAGAAATTAGAAAACATATAAATATAGCAAAATAAGTTGAGACATTGAAAAAAGATTTTATATTTATCTCTTCATCATAAACTTTTTTTAAAATAGTTATCATTTTCAACTCATCATTCCATCTAAAACCATTTTTATCTTGCACTTGTGTGATAATCTTTCATTCTTTTTTTATAGTCCTCAAATGATTTTTAATATGATCATGAGAACAATTTAATTCAAATTTCAAGTTGATTTCTCTTGCTATACGTGCAAAGTTGTCTTGTTTGAAAGTGGAAGAAGGTTTATTCCATTTTACAACCTCTTGAGCCAAAATCTCAAGCAACACATGAGACATAGGTCTTGTCCACCTAAACTCGTTTGGCTTTAGCTTTTTTTTGCTTTGTGTTACTCATTTCTACAAGCATTTTCAATAAATAGAATTTCAAAAAATAAAAATAAAAGAAATAGTCAAATAACATCATAACTCATTCAATAAACTATAAACAACAAAATAGAAAAAAAAATAGAAATTGCTAAAATTATAGGAAAAATAGAAGGTTAAAAAAATCCTATAAATGTGTAAATCTACCTCCCAATTCAGTTGAGATAATTATAAATAATCTATTACAAAGTGACAAAAAAAAAAAAAATTACACTCAAATTTGTAAAGGATTAACGACCAACTAGAAATGAAACTTTAATTTATCTCATAAAGCATATATTCATTCAAAAAGTAAAACATAAATAAATACATTGATGATGCTTTGAAATCACATGCCATTTTATATAACATAGTCATTCCACATATCTTATGCCATAACATCTCTTTTCGCTACCCATTCCCCGTTCTCTTCCCTTTTCTCTCTTTGACTTAAATGGGTTCTATTCATAATCATGGATTGGCTTGATGTGGTGATTTCTTCCATAACATAATCATCATGGTCAACTCTTACTATATGATTATGAAGGATATAACTTGCAAGCACGATATCCACTTGAGTTTTGTAGGACCAAAATAGTTGAGCATCAATACACTAAAATCATTTCTTTAGTATGTCAAAACCACGTTCAATTATTGTTTGCAAGGAAGAATGACAAAGATTAAATAACTCATTTACATTCTCGAGTGGATGCTTAATAAACTCATTTAGATGGTATCAAATACCATGATATAGAGTTATCACTCCATTTTCGGTTCCGTAACCAACATCACTAAGATAATATTTACTTGCACATTTTATAAAATATACCACCCGATAAATGTTTGTATACATGTATAACTAGATGTAAAGATAATGTACATTAAAGATTTCGGTTAATACCTTTTGGAATCTTAAGTCCTCCCGATCATGATAGTGCATCGTTTAAGACATAAGATTCATGTGCACTTCCTTCCCAATTAGCTAAAATATAAGTAAATTTTAATTTAAAATTGATGGCTACCAACATATTTTGTGTTGTTCCATCCTTTCTACCGTGAAACTTTCCTTGCATTTTCAAAGGTACACTTGTTGAAATATGGTTACCATCAAATGCTCCAATGCAATCCTAAATAAAAAAATTAATATTTATGAAAATCTAATTTTTAATAAAACTACTTAAACTAAGAATTTTTTTTAACAAAGAAAAGAGATAACTAACCTTGAAATATGGAGAGAATATTTCATAATTTGAAATTACTATGGGTATTGAGTTAGTTGGGTCTTGAATGAGATACAATTTTAGAATTTTGTATTTTAGAATTGTTGCTAACATAATTCTAAAATATTTATGCATTGTTCCAATGGATCTATAAAATTTTCCACTAATAAATTGAAATCGGCATTTTGTCCAATTATTTGCAAGAACATCACCACTTGTTCACTAATGGTCATATTTTTAGTTGATTGTAAAATGTTGGTTGTGTTCAAAACCTCACACAATTTGTCGGATGACTTTTGTGACATACGAATTTGTGCCATACAATGCCAACCATCTTGGTTAAGCATACTATTTATATAGAACTCTCTCATATAACTTCCATCAATTCGAGGTTGTTATGGTATGGTAGTCCTATTTTCATACTTATTAACTATATGACATGCAAAGATTGCAATTAAAGCACCCGTCATGCCTATGAGGTAAATCAATTTTTTATCCATCTACATATAAATTTCAAATATATTGAATATAAAATATATAAGCTATCAAACAAACAAACAAACAAAATTTTTAACTTTCAAATTATCGCATCCTTTCATAGTTCATACATGCCGGTACTAATTAATTTAAAAGAAATAGATTAGAGAAATGATAATTGAAAGTAAACTAGAAAATAACTTGAATACTTATAATATTATCGCTACATCTTACTAATTAGCGAGAGATGATAATGAAAACTTATTGACCAAATGACCATGTCTAGTTGTTATGATGATTTTACTTCCTTTGTAAAGTCAATCCCCCATTGCAATAATTGATCTAAATTATTATCCGAGTATGACCACGACCAATTCTTTAAAAATAAGTAGTCCTCTACTAGTTCATTCATATATATATCTATCGAATCCATGACCTCATCTAGCATGTTTAATCACCCATATGGTGTACTTAGTATTATAATCTTGCATGCTTAATTAACCTTCCTTTCCCCACCAACATTTGATCCAAATCTTAATGGCTCAAATCATTGATCCTAGAATGATACTCCCCTAGTTTTTCACTCTCAAGTACATTACATTAATCCTTAAATTGGTTATTCATCACTTGCTTCTATTAGCTAAATTGCTCATGTTAGCTCGCACAAATATTAATTTTGAAAGTAGCTTGCATTGAAAACTTGTCATAATGAATAGCTAGCCAAATTATATAATAAACTAATGTAGTAGTTTTCAAAATAGGAAGACTAATTCATAATTTACTCAAAACAAACACAAGACAATAAAATGTACTTTTCAAGTCTTTCATCTATTTTTTCCGTCCAATTCAATCCAAATATATTAGTCATATTACGTTCAATATAACAAATACACCACCTTGAAGTAATGTCGCACGGTATTTAAAAATATAATGACTTTTCATTTTCTTATTTTTTTAGAGAAAAATGGTTTTATAAAATGAGAAAATATATACGAAATTGAGAATGAAATTAATTTTATAATTATTTATGCACTTTTTTAGGAAGAAGTCCTTTTTTTTTTGGAATATCAAACAACAAAATGATTAGCCTAAGCAAAATAAAAGAAATGAAGAATTTTGTGCTTGTTTACATTCGATTGTAGACATAAAATTAAGTCGTTTCTTGAGGTTCTAAATACTATTGAATTTCAATTCTAGTAGAGTAAGGAAAGCAAGGTTCCTAATTAAGTCCAAATTCTAGTTCGGATTAATGAGGATTAAGGAGTTCCTTTTTCGACTCCCAATCTATGTATATGTATATAATTATCCCTCTAAAATGAATTTGTTGCTTCTTCTTCTTCAATCTAAAAGAAGAAAAAAAGAGAAATTAAATCATGGCTAGCAATATAATTAGCTTATGTCTTCCAATAGTCATAATCATAGAAATTCTGTCAACTCTTAATAAAATTGGTAGCACAACTAGCATCTAACATATCTCTTTAAATATCAATTTTGAAACCAATTTTTTTTTTTTTTTTTTAGAAACATAAAAATACCAAGTATTAGTTGTCAAAATTTTTCACACTATGTTAATGAAAATCAAATCTTTTAGAAAGATCTAACAATCATGAATCAAACTAAAGGATTTGCTTTGATGTTTCTTTGACATCTTTTAGAAAGCTCCAACAATCAAATTGCTCAAAATTTAGGTTAAAAACAGTTTTAGCAATTGTTGTCTTACCAACATCGACAATTCCATGAATTATTGCTATACCAACATCTTCGAGTGTATCTTGTATCACAATTAATTCCAACTAAATAAGAGGGCACATACAACATTGCCCTTTTCAGCTTTTCTCCAACATTTTCCTAATATCTTATACAAAATTTGCCTTATTTCTACAAATAGAAAAAAAAAATGACTAATAAAGTATAACGAGTCTTGGAATATTATGTTTTCTATATTCTTCCTACTTTAGCTTTCCAATTTCTATCATCTACGGTTGTAATGTGTTCTACAATGCATATGCAAAACTTAGGGAGCTTAACATAAGAAAACTTTGCTTTCAATTTTTCAATGCATCTATCTATTTCTAATTAATAAGCAATCCCTTATTTTTAAATTTGATTATTTGTTAATTGGATCCGTAAGCTCTTAAGCTTTTATTCCACTTTCTTCTATTTTTCCAACACAAGGTTAAGAAGAAACTCGGCAACTAAATACAAATACGGAATGGGTAGAATATCTAGATAGCAAGAAGGACAACAAAAGGCCAAGGGTTTTGAAGATCCAAAAAACACAATAACGAGTTTACAACAAAAGAAAGTGACGGACCCACGAGGAGGAAGATGCATAAACAAACAAGTCGGACAATATTATAAGAAGTCACAATAGATCTAACCATTCTTTTGCGGGCGTTGTTTGCTCGACGATAGCATTAGCTTTGTTGCGGTGGCGTTGGCTATCGAAGATGTCCTTGGGTCGGCTTCATGCAACAATTGTTGGGTGAGTTTAGGTGAGAATGGGGATGGACATCAACGGAGCCCTAGAGAGAAAATGTTTTCTCATTTTCTATTTGAGAAGTCACTTTCCCAAAACTTAGCTTTTAATTTTTTTTATCGGAAAATAGATTTTAT